ATCTACTATTAACACTAAGATAAACGTTACACACTCTGGTGACTGCAGCATTAAAATTTGGTACAGATACAATATGCGAAAAGGTGAATTTCACCACGTCATACAGCTGTTTACTCAACGTTGATGATAAGGGCCAACAATTATGTTATACAAGTTGGTTGAAATAGCAAAGAGGTGCGTGGAACCTTTTGTTTAAAAAAAAAAAAAAATGAACTGGTTGATATCAAATTTAATAATTTGTTTAATGTGTAAATTTTTAAACATACCACTACTTAAAAGAGATTCTCGTAGTCATACAGCAGACCTAGGGGGAGAGGGGGGAGGGGGGGCTAACAAAATCCACTAGCAGACTATATGAATTTGTTGTCTTGAAATATGAACGTAGTACACACACGGGTGATTGACCTTTAAAAATTGGTGACAGAGACGGTATGCCACAACTATTTTATACTGCATCATACAGCAGTGCTAAGGTCCAAGTAAGTAATTCTTACCTGACAAATATAAAACCTATCATAGTCACAGCTGAGGTCATCCCACTGACAACTAGCCCCAGAGCAGATTACCAGGCAGTGCGAGTCTCTCCCTCTACTTGGCTGGTTCGGCCCCCAGTCGGTATAAACAAATTCGGTATTCGTGTAGTCCCATATCCAGGATTGTCGGCCAAAGATTAGTCCTCCCACAAAATGGCCAAATCCTTCAAACCAATTGTTCAAAATGGGGGTTAGTCACAATGCAAACATGTGAATTAATAATAGATTTATAATATGTATATATATATATATATATATATATATGCTTTTTCAATATCAAAATAAAAGTTTAGAATTTAAACCATTAGATTCAATTATAATAAAAATGAGTATTAGTAATTGTTTCCCCTAATTTGATTATTAATTTGATAAAAACAACTTGTTTATATGTGTTTGTATGTGTTCTAATGTCTATGTCTATGCTTGTACCACTGTCTGTATCTATGTTTGGAAAGGGCTTAAATAGGCTAAGCCTGTTGCCCAATCCATTTGTCCGTTAACAATAAAATGTATAGAAATTGAATAGATATTGAGATAAATATTAACTTTATCTGTTTATGTTGCATCTTGTTTATGAGGTTGTATTTTTCTCTTGCTTGTGTGAAAACTAACAAACAGAAGTTGTGCATGCGTTAGAAAGATAAGAAGGTTCCTGCTTTAGGTACTTGCCTGCAGAACGCCGTAGTCGGATCTTCAAGAATGTGTTCATTTCCTCTGTGTCAACCTCAAGTAGATGGGCATCATCACTCTGACATCGACTCTGTAAGGTAAATATAACATTTAGTGCCGAAAGCAAGACACACGAATCCTATTTTTTGGAGAGTTACATAAATAACCTTCCCACTTAGCTAATGAACTTTCGTCGAGAAATAAAATAGCATTCTAATTAATTTGAGATGTAACACGACATTTTATTTGTCAATCAAAATAATTTGCGACTGTAAACCCACGATATACCGTCCGCAAATTGCATATGAAGCCCGGATGCCCATTGTTAATGACGTCGATGACCCCGACTGACCCTGACACGTCATAAAATATATTATACTTGACGTCACGAACAATAGCATGACCCCGAAAGGTCAATGTAATTCCGCCTCACTTTGAATATTTTAACGTCAATCGACGGCAGAGTGACCAAGAATTTGAACAAAACACTCACCGGTAAAAGTAAGGAAATCTCACACCGGTAAAAGTAAGGATAAATCTGACCAGGGTAAGAGAAACCAATGTCTCACATAGAGACAGATAGCCACACAGAAATGAATTCAAACACCAGGTGCAAACGACAAAAAGACAATACCTAACAGATACACATTGAACGATCTGCTGCGGGGACCGGTTCAAATACAGACATAATTGTTTCAAGTTTGGGTACAGTATTTCCACGGAATAAGAATACTTTTTATACTGCGTTGTTAATAACGCCGAGCGCACTTATTGGTCATTTTGCCGTTGAATTACAATTTTAAATAGGAGTTAAAAAATACATTGTAAATGTAAACTCAGCAATTTACATACTGCAAAACTACACATCCACTTCAAATTAAAAGTAATAGGCATTGCGAAAGTTGAGCATTTTAAAACCACTATCGAAATATTTAAAATATCATGAAATAAGGTAAGGGTATGTAGGTTTGAGCATATCTTTGATTCTGATAGATCAGTCGGTATCATAATCATTAGAAATAAAAGGCAAAGATGAACTGATTTGAAATATTAGCTTGTTGTTTTACAGCACAATATGGCAATTCGTCCACCTAGGAGTCATCAGCGGTTCTTATATCAAACAAATGAATATCCATGTCAAAATTGTTCCGAAACGTATATAGAATAACAAGTAAAAATAAAAGTGTCAGTAAAAACCGTTGTTACGTTTTGTTACAGATTTACAATTTTGTCAATTGCAGATAATTTATTCTTCAATTGGTTCCCAAGTGAACTTATCACCTCGAATTCCTAAGCGGCATCTTTTGTTATTCGAAAATGTCATAACCCGAAGAAAACCCACATGGTCGGGCAGGTGACCCCATTCTTTTAATGTACATCAAACGATCAAACTAGTCTTCTCGTATCATCAACAAGGTGGCGCACACTGAGCCTTCAATTTTGCTATGACATATTCGAGGGTTGCAGAGAGCGTAAGTGAGCGTAATCCCTGGAGTATCGAGGATGGCTCATTTAGGCAAACCCAAGTGCATATAAAACAACCAATTATTTTAGAAAGTCTAAACATTAAACAATGATAGTAAAATATTACATTATGATATAAAAACTATTCTATGAACAAAAAATATTTTTGGGGCAATAACTTTGAAAACATCTCCAATGATATGAACAAAAGGTATCATCTTAAGCATATCTCTGATGCGCCTACTCAAAGTAAAGATTTTTTTATTTTGCTTTTTCCCTACTTGATTCCTCAACATGATGATTTATTTTGAATATTTGCCATACATATATCACAAAAATAATCTGAATGTCGAAAAGAACAAACATATATTTAGTATATATGAGAGAATTATAATCTCCAAGTCAAAACTATTCGTTTAAAAGGAAATCGTTTGGGACCCTCTAACGAGTGAACTAAACAATATTTTCGAAAGAACACTTCATTATCAAGGTAATTATGAATATTGATATTTTTGGGAAATGAAGATAACGTACGTCCTTCTGCTTTATACATTCTAATACCTCGCCTGTTAATAGATACCTTAGCTACATTCCAGGTTACAGGGTCAAGGGCGAAGTAAAGGCAGTATCGATCGTACTTTACCCAGCCGTCCGGACACACGTCGTGATCAGTAGGCACTAATATTGTAAAATAAAGAAATAAGATGTACATTGTATGTGAGGGATAAACTACTCAATGAATTGTCATGAATCTATCACATAACGTCATTTTCCCATTGCATGTTAAGTAATGTTTGTAATTTCCCTTGTCCCCAAAAAAACGTTATTGAGGAACCACTTTTCATCTCTTTGCACACAACATAAAATTTGAATTAAAATGTTTGTAAGACATTTTATCATTCAATGTTAAAAATCTGATACATTGATACTAATATATAAATCACCATAAGATACGCTGGACTAGTGCAAAATTGCAATAGGATGGAAAACAAAATCAGGAGAACGAATTTTGTAAAAGTAAATTAACGTAGTCAAACAGGAAAATTACGTAAGGTGAAAGACGTCTGCATGTCACTGTATATAAAAATGTGAATTTCCGCAGATTTAATAGTTTTTCTTTCACTTTAACATTATAATATCAGCATGATGATATCATGCATGATTGAATTAACATACTTGATATATATATTGCAGCATTATCGGACACATTTCCACATCGGCAAGAATACATTTATATAAAAGGAGTTTATAGTTAACGAGCGCCCTTTTCCTTATAAATGCCCTTTATTTATTTAACTATCTGTGCATGTTAAATATAATCATTAGTCTAGCTATAATAACAAAATCTTAGATTAGAATTTGTCTTAATTAATACATCAGTTGGGTTAGTTTAATGAATACAAAACCTGTACTCCCAGGAGTTGATAGCTGGTTGTCTAGACGCTGAACCAGGTTATCAATGTCCTCTCGCAGAGCGGCCTGGACACCGTTGTGGCCTTCAACAAGTGTCATGATGTTGGTCACATCAGCTTTCACTATTTCAAGCTGATTTTGAACTGTTTCCTTCTTTTCTTTCATTTTCGCCTCCAATGCACAAACCTCCGTTTTCACTCCGGCAATTTTTGACTCCAGTTCAAATGTTTTCATTTCCAGTTTCGCTAAATTATCATTGTCGGCGTGGTCTGTAACAGACTTTGATGTTACTTGTGTAGAAAACCATGCTAAAACTATTACCAGAATTATATTCTGCTGCATAGTGTCATTTGGGTATTGCCGTTTGATAATACGTCTATGTTCGTTGTATGATAGCCAGCGGATGCTATGTATGTAAATGCCTATACTTGTTTTTATAACCTATCTCTGCTTGTATAAGTGTACATTTCCTGTCATTTGGAAAGTTCACTTTTAGTTTTGACATCTGATATTTCTATCCGTACCAATTAAATATTGTTAACAACACTAAGTGCTGTAAATTCACTTGTGTTGTTATGGATGTTCATGAAGATATATAATTAAGTGTAGTGTTTAAGGTTCAACAAGCCCCCTAAAAGATGACGTAGTCAACTAAAATTCCAACCCCCTGGTTAGTCATGTCCAAAGACCTCAATTACAAATCGGAACTCACATATGTTATTTGTATATATTGAACTTGTAAATTGACCATACAAAAATTACATAGCCAGGTTAACGTACTCAAAAAAAGGCATTAAGGCTGATGTTTTCATAAAAATACCTCACTGCACTTATAACTTGTCAATCTCTTTTACAACCCAACTGAAGTTTATTTATATGCCTAAGTCATGCGGAGCTTTATTTCTCTTCTACTAGCTGTTGAAAGGAATTCCGACCACAAATAAAGATAGATGCTGCCATACGAAACCACGAAAATCTTACGAAAATCTCCTGGTAATACATTTTAGCAAATTTTAAATAAGAAAACAATGGCTAAGTTACCTCGATCGATAAATGAACTTAAAATGATGTGCCATTTGATAACATTATGTGATCATATGAATGCGCTAGACATGTTATAAACATTGAAGCTGAAAAGTACGATAATGTTTACAACAAGTCTAGATCTTTTATTATAACATTGATTGTTAAGAAAGGACACTTTATATGAAGTTTAAGTTGTATTTATGGCCAAATGTCTATGGTTTACATATATATACCGGTACAATATGTTACGCGGACGTTTTACTATTATTTTTGTACATTCCCATACCAACAAAACATCTTCTTGTGAGGCCGGTATGCCTAGGTATATAAATGATCTTCAAACAACATGTCATTTCGTAACATTCAGTTGGGTCACTTAGGAGATTGACATGTTATAAATCTGGTGAGCAACTTTTATCATTACATCAGCCTTAATGCCGTATTTTTGACTTCGTTGACCTGGTTATATATCTTTTTAATAGCTCATGTACAAGTTCAATGTATTTAGATTACATATATATATATTCCGAGTTGTGATAAGAATATTTGAGTATGACTTGCCCTGGGGTTGAAATTACCTCTTTTAGGGGGTTCGGTGAACCTTAACAGCACGGAAGCTCGTGTATTTAAAAATGACATATAATTCACATAAAATATCAATTACCGAAAGAGATGCTGTATTTGCCTTTACATTCAATATCAAACACCCTGACAGAGATTATATTTCACCATAAGCAACTATTATTTAGCATCATACAATAAACATGTATACATTGTAAAAAAGTAGCAATTTTGTTTTTATTTTGATCAAATAATTATACTTTGTATAGACAATAAATAAAATAGCTTAAAGAGTTAGTTACATTTGTTTTATTGTTTTAAATGTATTTATTTGCTTATGTAGATTGATCCACCTCAAGTATTTAATGTCGACGAACGCTGATCAATTGCAAAAAGTACAAGGAGGATAAGATAGGTGCTCCATAAAGGTAAGGTTACATTAGGTCTGTTATGATACATGTAATCAAAACGAGGTTTTGGGACAAATTGGTTTACCACGTTTTTTCTAAGAGGTAGATTCCCATGAAACTTCCCTTGAGTATTTGGCTGCGTGTCTAAATGTATACGAAGCGTTTTTGGTTGGAGTTGCGCAACCGTGGCCTCTGATTGTCGAAAGGTGACGCAACATTTTACGGAAACTACAAGGCGGATTCCAATTAAAATTTCATTTGAGTATTGGTGAACATACGGAGATGAGCATATCCAAGATTAAGATCAAGTTCTGACCGATTCGATGAAAGTTGGTGTATAGTTTTATTATGTCGTTACAAACAGCAGAGTGACTTTAATTAACATCATCTAAAACTACGTACGGGGGTTGTGTAGGGGCTTCTGTAACGGTCGCCGCTGCCAGTAGGACTTACATCTTCATTGTCATTGGGTATTCTCTGGTAAATGTAGGACACGCACTTTCTATTTACGTTGTTTTTATGATTAATTAAAATTGAAAAAAAAAAAAAATACCTAATTAGTAAATGCGTTCATTGTAAAATTGTTGTAACTAAAAATTCTACAAATACTTTTAAAATCATCATCATCATCATCATCATATCATCATCATCATCATCATCATCATCATCATCATTACATCATCATCATCATCAACATCATCATCATCATCTTTGTCTTCTTCATCATCACTTCCACCGTCAATTAAATAGTCATCGTCATCATCATCGTCATGATTGTACCATGGTAGATAACCTCCCCAATCTTGTTTAGCATGTTTGTTAACGACTGTGAAACTGAATTTTTACGGGCCGGTGTACATCCACTTGAATTACAAGACTTGTCCCTATTTTTATTAATGCACACAGATGATATGGTTTTGTTTTCCAAAAGTATACATGATTTACAGTCAATGCTTCAAAAACTTAAAAATTATACTGAAAAGTGGTTTCTGACGGTTACCTTCAGTGTCTCTACAACCAAAAGTATGGTGTTCCGTAAATCAGGTAGAATGTCAAAGGATGAAAAATGGTATTTTAATGGTACATTGCTTGCAAATGTAGATAGCTTTTGCTTGTTGTTAAACTATAACGGTAACTTTAACTCATCTGAGGATGATAAGTGTATGTTGATGATGATACATATGAAATGATGATTGAAGATTTTGGATGATGATGGATTATGGCAATGATCGAATAATTATATATGAAAGAGGATGATGAAGATGATAAAGATGAATGATGATGATGATATGTTGACGATGATATGTTGATGACAATGAAATTGATTGTGATAATGCTAAATTCATGTCCGTGTGTGTATATGTGAGAATGCGTGAATGTCCTGTTTATGTATATGTAATGAAAAACTTGGAAAAATAAAACCATTACAAAAAAACTTAAACTCATCTAAAAAACAGTAAGCATCACAGTGCAGGAGAGCATTATTCGCACTATAAAGACACTTTATAGGAAGTGTGGCGGGTAATAGCAGTAGTGAAGTATGGAGGTTCCATACAACCCCCGACATTGGGAAGATACAATTAGATTTTTGTACAATATGGAGGGGGGGTCCCGTTGCCCCAAACATGAAGAGTTATATGAAATACATATTTTAAATAAACATAATATATAAGACAATTAATACAATTGTAAAATTAAGTATAATGACTGAAAATAATGGTTGAATGATGTATTTAGCGATTGAATAGTTTCAACCTGTATACAACAAAAGTTATTTACAGGAACTCATATTTTATTGAAATGTAAGAGTGGAAGCTTTCTCAGTTTTTTCAATTAAAAACTATTGTTACTTTTTAGACTAACAAAAGGCGTTCGATAATATTGACAGATGTAAATTATGGTATAAAATAGCTTGGCATCCGTGGTAAAATCGTTTTGGTGATAAAATCATTGAATTGTCATATTAAATCAAGCACCCATGTTGGTGGAAAAATATCTGGGGGTTTTTCCAATAAAATTGGAATATCATGCTAATCCAAATTTTTAATACTGGGTTGCAAAAGTCAAACACGAGCTCGGCTCATTAGGTATGATGGACTTTTGGGTTTCCTACCATATTATGAATGTAAACAATTATATATATACTGTAACACAACGTTTGTTAGACAATTTCAGGCAAGAGTGTGAGATTTGTATTTGTTTCGTCGCCAAAATGTGTTTTATACAGGCATGTTGTAGATCACTTAGCATTGCAAACTTATCTTTCAAAACCAATTCCTGCTAATCATAAAAAGAAACTATTGTTAGATTACGTTTATCTTCACATTGTTTTCTTATCGAATCAGGCAGACACAGAAATGTTCCACGTCAGCTTGGAACTTGCCCTCTGTCTTAATGACATCGAGGACGAATATCATTTCATTTTAAAATGCCCCTTGTATAACGATCTGAAAATCAGATATATTACCAAATAAATCCATCTGTCCTTAAATAAATATTTCTATCATCTGAAAATTCGATGGAATTGTGCAATTAAGGAAAATTTGGTCATCGCGCAAACATATTGCTTTGAAGTAGATAATTAAATGTTGTATTAATGGAATGGCTTGGAAATATTTGTTGTAATTAAGTTTAATGTACATGGTGTATCTATGAACTGTATCAGTTTATGATCAATAAAAATACCCGAAGCTTTATCAAGTCTTCAATATTGGAGGAAACGAGCAGATGTTGTACAACTACATTAAATAATTAATAACATTGATGCTGTGTACAAGGATAAATTGTTCACAATGTCCCCCATTAAAATTACTCCCAGCGGTCTTTCTAAGAAGCTCTTGAAACCGAGGTCAAGATTAAATGTAACTAAGAATAGATTTAACGGCAGAGTTGTAAATATATTTATATAAATACATATGTTTCTTAAAACCTTTACCATGTTAAATCAATTGGCTTAAACATTTGAAAGGCAAACTATTTAACATTGTCTTAGGGAAATGACGTCAAACAGAGACATATAAAGTAACCGTTTTGACATGGACAAATTTGATTTTATCAATATCACTAACGGAAGCACTGATTAACACCATACAAGATACAAGAAACTTATTTAAAGTCGCATACATGTAAACAAAGAACATTAGCTCTTGAGAGCTATTATTGCGACAAACATGTAAAAAAACAATAGCACATTGTATTATAAGTAAAGGGAGATAATCACATTACATTAATAAAAAGCAATAATTATCACAAAAAAAGAAAGTATCATATCCCAAGTTTCTTATATATAAAATAGTGTTAATATGAAAAGAAATAAATGTGATCACGGATAAGTATTATTAAGATTACTAGTAAGTTAATAAAAGACATAGTTAATAGTAGAATAGTAGTAGTAGTAGTAGTAGTAGTAGTAGTAGTAGTAGTAATAGTAGAATTACTTAGGACTTTTGATTAAGACACTATCAAGTGGAATAAACATACAATGATATTATAGCAAAGTCATATATTGACAGAATATACACTAATATAGTGTGATTTTTTTTTTTATTTTAGAATGAATGGAATTAAAAAAAGAATAAGATGCTGCAAAAATATAGAATATGATTAATGCATATATGAAATGAAATAAAACAACAATTGTATATACAATTCAAAATGTCAGGTGGCAGAGGTAACCAGGGCACAATATGAAGAATCACTCTTTACAGATATTGCAAAGGTAGATTGGGCCATCCCAGGAATGGACCAGCCTCTTGAACTCTGTGAAGTTTTCAACTTTTCGGAATCCATTGGGGAGACTGTTCCATACCCGGGCGGCCTCAAAAGCAAATGTTTTTGTCCATACTTTACAGTGTTGACTCTGGGCACCTCTGCAGTATTTTCTTGCACGAAGTCATAATTAGACATCTTAATATTGATAAGGTTTCGAATATATTCAGGAGACATTTTGTTTATATTTTAAACCTCACAATCCATACCTTCAGACGCCTTGCACGTAGCTTATCGCTGTTGGTAATACTGAGTAAGTGTCTGAAGGACGCGTTGTGGTCATTATGTATACACTCTTAATGGAACAAGAGTGCCAGACTAAAGGACAGTAGTTAAAATTTAAAACAATAAAAGAATTATAAATTACAAGTCTACCTTGTTTTGTCACAAAACTTTCAATTCGTTTTAAAATAAACAATTGCTCTAAGGCTTTCCTTCAAATTTCAGAGATATGAGCTTCAAAGTTTAAAAATGAGTCAAAGTTCACACCTAACAGATTGACAACACCGTCAGGAACAATATCTGTTTCCCCAACACTAAAAGACTGTATAGCATCTACCCTATACAAATGGCCTGGAATTAATCAGGGTTTGCTTTCATCTGGTTTAATTTAAACCAGTCTATTAAATTTTGACAGTCATTTTCAATATTTCGTTTTAAATCATCTGGGTCTTTATTTGAGTCACTGACAGTCTTGTCGTCTGCATAATTATATAATATACAGGATATCACATCACATATGGTAGGGGTAACTAAAATCGCCTTTCTGGGTAAAATGAATTACGGTGTATGCCATTATCTCCTTTTTCCAAAAATCAATGTACATCCTTAAAATGCATGCTGTGATATTTTATTTGTTTTTAATTTTCCAATGTATTTTATTCATATTTATTCATGTTTTGTCGTGAACATAGCTCTACAGAGCTAATGTTTATTGTTTAACATATACGACACTAAATAAATCTGTTTGTCTCGTGTATCCTAGCTAGGTATTTACTGGGGTAAAGTAAATCATAGAATCCAATGGAAAATAATGTAATGAGACACGGTACTGTATGTGTCAAAGAACAAAACAATAAGGTAACAGTTACAACGGGTAAGCATTTTAGTGGTACAACCCAATATATATATAGTTATCTCCCCTGAAGACTTGCATGCAAGTTGTTACCTGTGACGTGGAGATCTCATTCGTACATTCTCGGATGTTTTCTCTGAATCTAACGGTGATAAACAAGAGGTACCGGATATAAAGCGGCCATTTTTACGTTGCGTGTAAGTCTGAGGTTTCCTCCGGGCAAAATAATACTTGTTAGGCATAGATCAGATGACACGTCTGAAGTCGACGAAGACATTACCACACAACATGATGAGGACGCTATCCATTTTATTGGGAATAGTTTCCCTTTCTTCCGCCTTTTACCTTCCAGGATTGGCACCAGTAACTTACTGCAAGCAAAAGTCAGAAAATTGCCAGGTAAATTTTGACATTTCTGTTCATGAATAACGTTGCTAATACTAGCATGGGTTGCAATTCAGGGAAATTATCACGATGTGTAAAGTACATACGTGTATGCAGTTGATATGCAGTGCATGAAAAGTAGAGTTTATGTATGTCGGTTTATGTTGAAAGCTAAGCAGAAAGGTATTTCGGTCCCATTCCAGTAATCATTAACAGCGATGATGCATACAGTAACCACACGCACGTTGTCTACGTAACCATTAATATACATGTAGTAAAAATGAGGCACTGGGGTATGAACTTTTTTTGAATATTTAATTCACATTAATACCCAACATCAGAGAAACGAAATTAGAATTATGTTTTTGTCCAACAAGAAATGTTAGAAAACACAGGAGTCTGACGTTTAATCAGTATAAGTATACTGTACCAGTACAGTAACTGTCTATAAGAAAAAAATACTTTTTTTTTTTATATATATAGACTGTTATACTTATATTGATTAAACGTCAGACTCCTGTGTAACAACAAACTATGTAAAACCATAATAGATGTTGAGGTTTAATTTTAGATCTTCATCACTGAAGGAGTTAACGTTGCAAAGACTTTTATTGAACTTCAAAAACTACATTTTTAAAGATATGAAAAGAGCCAAACGGCTAAGACTGAATTGTGTGTAGAAGTTTTATTTGTGGTTATTAAATTCCTTGAATATTAGCCCAAGTTTTCTCTCGCCCCGACACCAGACTTACATTTTGACAGATAGATGTGTAGTGTGGGGCCAGAGCGTACTCATATGAAAACATGGAATGTTCCGACAACTTTTGGAATCAGTGAGTTTTGAGGTGGTGACATCAAAATCTACTATTACACTAGACATACCTCGTATATATCGATAAATGGATCATTTATTGATCCAAATCCGCTCTCATTACCAACAGCTGCTAGTTTCTGTCAGTAGGGCCTCAGTTTTCAATCATTCGAAATTTCCAACCTGAGAGAACGTCATGATCATTTTGTAGGTCATGGGAGTGAGTAATCAACAAACCTTACTGATCCGGACCGAAAACGGAAAATATTTTTCTTGTTTAGAAGATTTCCAGATCGCATCTTTCTGTTAACTATAGTCACTTCCCAATACCAAACAGTTTCGGAGAATTCCACGTTTTCATAGAGTAGTGCGCTATGGCCCTACACCAGACATCTATAGCTATCTGTCAAAATGTCTAAGTCTGGTGTCAGGGCCAGAGGAAACTAGACTACTTGAATATATGATAGAAGGTTTACTAAAACGCAACACTATATCAAGTATATATGTATAGGATTAGACTGTTTAGGCTAAGTGACAGGAGCTAGTTATGAATCATATTTCTAAGCAATATAAACTTTTTTTTTTACAAGCTCTCTGCCAAACTATATATATATCCTGAATCCTGCGAGCACATATATATGAAAGTTCATGGTCTCATCAAATGTAAATTACAGAACCTTTGTTAAAACTGTTTATATCTGTATTAAAAAAGCAGAATGATACTTAAAGAAATGTTCGTCATGTATATTAAATTGTTTTAGAAAATATTTATAGCAGTCCTTGTTGAATTATTATACATTTATAATAAATATATTACTTTTTCAGACTGGAGCAAAGATCTTTGTTAACAGACTTAACTCGGTGGAAACAATAGTACCATATGAATACCATTCGTAAGTATCTGAAGTCATAAAAATTTGGGAGGAAAAAGAAATTACATGTTTGGCCTCATTCTGTGTCTGTATCGATATCTGTATAAGTACGTTGAAAGACCACTTCTGGCATATAATCAACAGAAGGGGAGAGCGCATGGAGGTTTTAAGTCCGAGTGGAGACGAGATTTAAAAATCTCCACAGATTTTACAAGGACTTGTTCGTCCTGAAGATGGTTCCAGTTTATTATATAGTCCACGGGGAAATAAAGAGTTCCTGAGTGTTTCTGTTTTCGTTGAGATAAAGTTGTTAAAATGCCTTGCTGTCACTTTGCGTTTAATTCTCGATGGTTTTAGATGGGGCTGAGATGCTTGGTTGTAAAATTGGAAAACAAATTAAAAAAAGATGATAAAATTGTATTGAGCACTTTTTGTGCAATGCCACTTTCCTGGAATATTAAAAAAACAACATTTTTTTCTTTTCTTTAAAGTTCCATTCTGCACATTACCGTAACAGTTCTTCAGGTCATGTATATAGAGGTTACACAACAAGTGGTTGTTGAATATGGTATTTATTTCACTCCAGTTAGTTAATTTTCAAAAGTTACAAAAGACGAGTGTCTTTCTGTAACTTTTGAAAATTAACTAACGAGAGTGAAATAAATACCATACTCGACAACCACGAGTTATGTGATCTGATTCTACCACAATCTCAGATGGAAACAGCTGGAGTATTTCCTGATTTGAATAGCATACACATATTTTGTTATATGTAGTGATACATATATATTACGTCTCTGTGTTTCACCACCTGGACACATGACAGTATGGCGTTGAAACAATATTGAGCGTCTCTAGCAATTTTGCCTGAAACTAGCGATCAAATATTTAAGCATAATTTTCTTTTGTTATTGCCTTAATAACCCCCTTTTCCCATCGCATAACCTCACAAAAGTCACAAACATTTGCCGGATGTTGACAGCAGAAGACGTAAACAAAAAAGCAAGCAGCAAAAAACGTGTGAAAAAGATTGTCTGGTCAGGGTTCATCTTCTCGACCAATCAAAACTACGAAAGGTCATAAACCATGTGTGGTGTATAACTCATATTCATTCAATAGTCTGCATGTTTATACAATTATCTGAGAGTGGAATAACACAGAGTATTGTGGTAGAAATGTTAATATATACACATGGCCTATGCATTGATGAAGCTAATACGATTGTTTTTGTTTGTTTCAGCTTTGACTTCTGTACCACAGATGAAGAACATTCTCCCGTTGAGAACTTGGGACAAGTTGTGTTTGGGGAGAGAATCCGACCATCGCCCTACAATGTAAGGCCTGATGAAAGGAATTGGCTTATATGTGTTTGAAGTTTCCTTGGGTTGAAATATTTGAGAAAAGATCCTATTACACATTTTAGCATACTGCATGTTATAACATGTTTAAGTTAGATAGAGCAAGAATTTTCATTTGTAAATTCATTATTGGTTCTCAGAAATTGGTTATAGCCTTATATACTTCAGAATTGCTATGAGATGATAGTTTTTACAGGCTAGAAAACATAAAAATAGGGTTTGGCAAATGATTAAAAGCTGATATAAATTTATATATTGTTAAATCGATGATTAAGCAATTAATGCGATATATATTGTGAACTCATTATCATTTAGGTTTGATACATGACAATGCATTATTTCACAATCATGTCGGCCCAGTTGATGCTCAAATATTCACATATATAAACACAATTTCCCGTCACCGATTTCTGTCATTAGTGACCAATAACAATGTTTGATTTATACTTCTACAGTACGCGTCAGGTGATTTGGTACTCAGTCGCCCGCCGAGCGACAAATTTTAATCCCTGTCGCTCGTAGCCGCGGGATGATCGCGGAAGAAACGCCGGCTATATCAAGGTAGATCCGCCGGCTTTACATTGATAAGCCCTCCGCGACTATCCCGCGTTCATGGGTGATGGGGATTAAGTCTGGACAGAGAAAATACAGTATATTACTAGTTTAAGTTTTATTCAAACTTTGGGCCATGTTTGTGTCTGCTGTGGCCGCTGTTCCTGTCTACGGTACCACAGATGCACAGTAACAATCCGCACACCGAACAGAAAGCGCAACTTGAATTTCCCGAACGGAAAAGAAATGCCAGCACATACTAGGGGGGAAAACCCGTCTTGTAGTGGATATTTAAAAAGAAACGAGTTCCACCAGATCTATTTAAAATTACCCATGTATGCTTAATATAAAGTAGCATTGCCTTGTAACGTGATAAACATTGGGGCAACATTTATGATGTGCAAGTGTCGGTTAATTTGACTAGATTACACGATTTCCCCTTTAAACAATCTAGATTATAATTGAAAAGGACCGGTACGTTAATTAACACATCATTATAAGTGTCTCCGTTTAGTATGCATTGTATAAAATGTTATCACAGTTTACTGATCAACATAAGTTTATTGAAAAATCTACCGAGGCGGACAAGCCGACTGTCCCTGCACTGTGAAATCACCAAAAATTATTGGTTGGTCTGAAACGTCAATCACACCTCAGCACAGTAGCCCTCCTGTCATAATGGGCGGAGCTTACGCAATACACCGCATCATGCGACTGATTAGATGGTGTGTATCGTCGAGGTGCCGCCCACTCAATTCCCCAAATTTTCGTGTTTTTTTGTGTGTTTGTAGAAATGAAAAATAAAAAAAACGGTTATATTAAATTATGAACAGAATGCAAATATTGGTCCTTACAAGTCTACACTTTAAATAAATGTTTAATATGGTTGCTCCTACCTGTAACATGGACCTCGCTAATTTCAAGTTACCTAATCTTATTTTATTCCGTGTGTATCAATCGGAGACAACAAGTATTCGTTTGATTTCATGTGTAACTATTGCAATACAAAATTACATATAAAACAAAATCAGAATTAAATATGAATATAATTTAGAAGTTTTAGACCAACTACGTTTTGAAAGTTAACTGTATTGCATTTCTTTAATTATGGTCCCTTTGACACTGTTAGGTTTCAATTTAAATTCGTCTAATATACCGTATTCCTTCACGGATGGTCATGTATAAATTATATATATATACATGTACATACACAGTATCATCGTAAGACCAGCTCTGCTCATATTCCTACAAGAATATTTCAGTTTTTGTCATATTTTCGTACTTTTAACAAATATATGTTGTTTCTATGTATAATACTTTTTGAAGAAAAAAACAATCGCATTAAGTCCATGCCGGTCCTTAGATTTGATCCACAGAATCTGTCGATGTTTTTATAAAAATTCAAACTAACGTTGTGATCCATTTTCATACGTTGGTATAGTGTCAAAATGATCCTGATATGTGTTAAAACTATGTATTATCAATACTTAATAAAATTCCAACGAATGTCATTTCACACAAAAACGTTTATAATAATATAAAATGCCGCCGCCGTATATTCCGTAGACAAATCCGCATCTATCTGTTGATCTCACGTTTCTTTCAATGCCAGCGTTCCAAACCAAATGCTATAAACTTCATTTCTTCCGTTTAAGAATAATAATACATATACAATTACAAATACAAATGGAATATAATTAGGAAACTACTTTCGAAAACTTCACACGTGCTCAACAAAAGTGATAACCAGCATCCGATTACCATATTTGTATAAATGTACATTTATTTCATTTCGACTATTACAATAGATATGTATTATAATAAATAAGATAATTTCTAACGTATTTTTCAGGAAACAAAAAAAGTACGGGTAAACAAGATCGAACCTATATCACAAAATTGAAATTCGTCGCTTCAGTAAGATTTCCCCAATCTAAGTTGCTAACTATCAACGATAAGAGAATGGAGTAAAAACAAAAATGAACTTAAGGCACAGAGTCTAAGAAAACTGTGTTATTTCTCAAACGAAGAAGAGTTCCAAGTTGTTCTACGTTCTATTTTTACTTTCTGTTAATCAGATGTATGTGAAATTTTCTATTCCTCTAAAAATAACGAGAATTCAACAATATGTGTACCATTTCCAGAGAAGTGAGTGACTACTTTTTAAATACAGAAATTAGTGAAAAACGATCTCTGGAATATTTCATAAACTCTTTTTCAAAATTATGTTACGGACAATTAGATCTTTATATAGACATCGTACAACTCTGATCGTAGACCAGTGACCGTTGCAATTCTTACCAGGTTAATTTTCCGTGTTAATTGCCTTCTCAAAAAAAGTTCGGTTATATAAATAATGAAACTAGTTATCGTACCGAGTACGTATTGTTAGTATCATATAAGAAATGCTTGTATTGCAGTTCTCTTTAAAATCGCCATTCCTGTACAAAATATACAGCCCAAGGCGAAAAGCAGGTACCGAGAGTTTCACACCTGTTTGGAGGGGGGTGGGGGGTATGTTGTATTGCCGTCCAGGTAGGGTACTTTCCATTGTATCAAAATAGTTTGATTGGCAGGTGTTAAACACAGGTGAGAGAAACTATGGTTTCAAGTTAATTGCTTAATTGCTTTTATGATAAGTGTAGCGGAAGTAGTGGGGGGTGCGAGGCCCAGCTGGGGGTTGGCCTCCCAAAGGAAAGTTTTTGAATTCAAGGTCTCTGGATCAAATTCCCGTGTTTTCTTGAAATTTGGCGATTAGATTTAAGCAGACGTAATTTATGTCTCTGATTTTAATTTTGGAAAAAAAGTTAGAATTTTACTTTACTTACGCAAGAAAGGTTTGAAATACACGTATATTAAATATGTTTTTACTCATCAAAATTATGTGTACTCATTTGCATATAGCTAGAAAGCTACGCGCCTGCACGATGAAAATAACAATAATAAACTAAGACATGAGATTGCAGCAAGATTTGTTCTTCAACTTCTTGCGTAATTGTCAGTAGCAAGGTCACAGTTCACCTCATCAAATGATCAGGTAGGCTTGTCCAATATTTGAGACACTAACGTCCTTTTTTACTAGCCAAAACAATAACCGGCGCTTGGACTCTTCTTACTGTTATAATTAAAATTGTTCCAGATTGTTCTATAATTTTCAAGTGCAGTTTCCTGTTTATACATTAAAGATGAATATGTCCAGTACATTAACAAAGGAGTAGAATGGTAAAGCTAACCATGCTTGACAACTTTAGACACCCTGCACCCTGTTAGCAGGCAGCTAGCTAACTGCTGTGGGTCAAGGGTCGCCGCCGCCGGTACCAGTAGTGTTGCAAACGCTTTTTACCCTCTGTTAGAATATGGACTAGTCAAAATCAGTCACATTTGGACGAAATATTAAATTCTAGGGTTGAAAGCATATCTCCAAATCATTCTGTGTCGTGTTTGTTTTGTAACATCTGTCAAGTTGGAAGGCCAACCGGACACAAGGCTCTATCACTACGCTAATTGGAGACGAGACATTTTGTTTCGTTTACTGGTTCGTAATATTTCCCTATAAACTTTCAAACAAAGTGTACACACAAGAAAATGGAAGAATTTTACACATCTCCGTTACTCGTCAAAGTATTTCGGCTTCACCTGATTGACATCGCATTACGTAATGTACATCAACAGCGCCACCTGTAACTAGGTCGTCGAAAGCAGCTGATTTTCTTTTGTGAATTTATGCAACCTTTTGACTTCGAATACGAAATAGAGCAAGAATGGTTGGTGCAAATAGCTGACCATCCAAGACACCGTGTGCTGCTTAAACAACTGAAAGATAGCCTCGTGTTACTCAGAGACGTTAGTTATTGTTACCTTACATAATTGTTTTATTCCGACCGATTTCCACCCGATAATCTGACTTAAACGTAAATGATATTTTTTCGGACGTACCACGTTCTACTACTATATTGTATTGCATGAAATAGACGTGCATACAGCATATAAATATACCATTCGGGCATCCTGGACTGTCAGTGCTATTCAATATACAGTACAATAGTTAGCTGCCGATCGACAAGTTAATCCCCAACGCTCATCCGCGCGGGGTGGGCGGCCCCCCCGCGACTTTGCTCAGGTGATTTCTCGGTGGGGCTTTAATCCCCTTCGCCTGCGCGACGACTGTCGCCCGCGCGGGGTTTCAGTACCAAATCACCTGAAGTGTACTGTATAACTCAGCTGTATGAATTGTTATTCTTTTATTAATTCCATGTATCATTTATCACTTGCTATCAAATGTAAGTAACAACTAATAAACAACTTGGATCAGCTGTCTGCTAACACTTTATCTCAAAACGCTACATGTGTAAAATTGATAGAACATTCTACACCATGGGACTAAGTCCCATAAAACAATCCTACTTTATGTATATTGCTGTCGCATTTACTTTAAAAAAAGATATTTTGGTTAATGATAATATTCATGAAGTCTTATTTTCACCATTGGTATGTATCAGTTTATAGAAAATACAACTGTTTTAGTGTTGGTGTGTGGAGCCATCTTGGCAATAATCCTCCTAAAATAATAAAGTGTACAATCTTTTACAATTTGTCATATTGGGATTCGCAGTATTTCAGATACTTTGAGAGTTTTAGCAATTTTGAAAGTCAACCTTCGGTGACCGAGCCGAAATTGAACTCCAGAATAGAGCAATTTGATCTAATCCTATATATATAATTATATGCATAATAGTTTCCAAGGTATAATTCTCAAATGTAAATTGTTAAAATCTGTATTTCAGGCAACCTACATGAAAGATGTCAAATGCCAGGTGGCCTGTACAAGGTCATACCAGCCCAACCAGAAGGATTCGTTAGCCAAACTGAAGTTTCTGAAAAAGGGTGTTTCACTCAACTACCAGCACCACTGGTAAGCTTAAAGAAACAAATATGTGTAAATTGGTCGGTCAAAATCTAACTTTCAGTAGTTCTTCTACAGGTTTCCTCTTGAAAATTAATGATATAGACCAATTTTGTTGTAATCTAAATCTAACGTATCTTTTTTAATAACATTAGAATTCTTTTTCCTGTAAAAACAACATCTTTTGACGATTGGGTAGTGACATCCTAATGTGAAAATCTTTAGTAAATGGGCAGTAGCATTTTGAATATAGAATGGTCCCTAAGGTGACACCAAACTCTTTCATGTTTAGAATATCTTGTATGTGAAAGTCTTTTCTTACTATTTCTTCAATGATTTTTCATTATTTACTCCGTTGTCTATCTTGGTACTACTACATTTATACTACCATTTGTAGCTGCTAGTGTCTGGCTCTGTACAACCTTATATGTTGTAAATGTGTTAATGGACTGTTAGACTTAATGAAATATTTGAATTGTCTGTGGACAGGATTGTTGATAACATGCCCCTCACCTGGTGTTACGATGTAGAACAGAATGAGAAGTACTGCTCCAGAGGATTCCCTATCGGATGCTACGTCACTAAGGATGGCAAGAGGAAGGACGCTTGTGTCACGGATGTAAGTCTCGTATCCCAGGCACATTGTCAGTCTTGTTATATTGTATTTTTGTATTTTGCAGAATTTTAACCCTACAGATTTTCATATCAAAGAACAGGGACAATATAACATCTTTAATAAAATGAAATGTGGTAAATCTTATTATTCATCTTAAGATTTCCATTTATTAATAGTAACATTGTTTGATCAGTTATATTCTCAAGTTGTAAACGCACTGTTCTCTTCCCTACCTTAGAGTAATTGTGATTTACTCATCATATTTACAGGTATTGTATGTGTGGAGGATAAAACATAGCACAATATATATTGTATTATACTTCTTTTCCTTTTTATACGCCTGTCAAATTTGACGGGAGTATTATGGTATGGTGTAAACTTTTGTTTGTCCTGTAATCTCCTCCTACATTTTTCTACCCATCTCTTTGAAACTTGGTTTACTTTATAATCATGATATGAAGTTGTGTCTTCCTTATAAGAATTTTGATTCGATATATTTTGCAAAAGTTATTGACCTTTGTTTATTTCAGTATTTGATTTTTGTTAGGCAATCACCTCTTACATTTTTCAACAGATCTCTTTGAAACTTGGTATTCATTATAATCATGATATGAAGTTGTGTCTCCCTTAAAAGAATTTTGATTCAAAGATTTTTGCAGAAATTATTGTCCTTTGTTCATTTCAGTATTTGATTTTTTTATCTGGAGATTTTCTCCTACATTTTTAGGTCACCTGAGACAAAGTCTCAAGTGACCTATTGCGATCACCTTTTGTCCGTCGTCGTCCGTCGTGCGTCCGTAAACAATTTACATTTTCGACTTCTTCTTCAAAACACCTGAACCAATTTCAATGAAATTTTGCAGGGACCTTCCATGGACAAAGGTCAACAAAATAGTTGCCGGTTTAGTCCTAAGCCCCCAGGGGCCTGAGGGGCGGGGCCAAAAAGGGTCAAATTGACTAAAATTTCAAAAATCTTCTTCTCCAAAACCCCTAAACCAATTTCAATGAAATTTCGCTGGGACCTTCCATGGACAAAGGTCAACAAAAACAGTTGCCGGTTTAGTCCTAAGCCCCCAGGGGCCTGTGGGG